TGCAAAAAAAACTCCTGAGAGTTAGACATCAATAACGGCAGAGAAAGCTACCGCGAGGATCGGAACAATCGCGAAAATTATGAAGCGAGAAAGATAATCGAGCAGTAAATAAAGCGAGAAAGGCGCGCGCAAAAAATCCACAAAAGACCTCGGCGGAGGGGGATCGAGGGGCGGCGGGAGGGGGAGGACAATGAATTAATTAAGAGGGGTTTATCTGGTAGGAGCGAGGCAGGAAGCTAATTGACGGTAAAACAGAACATCTCTAATTAGATTAGACCTGAGACTAGAAAAATGTCACTACGCATTATACATGCCTAATGATTTCGCCGCTTCGTCGTACTTGCGCGCCGCGCCGCTGCCACGCTCCGGGACTTCGGACAGCTGCGCACCGGAGTTGCACTCTTAGTGCCAACTTTACTTCCGAAGAGAGCGGTGAGTCGAAAAAAACTGTTTTGAGAAAATTCTGATTGAGTGGGAAATTTAATCGAACAAACCTCCGTTTATCGTGAGACTTCGATGTATTATCCACATGACGGCGGTTAAATAATCGATTATGACATTTTTTACTTAATATATGCGATGTATCGCATGCAAAGGAGAATTGCATACAAATTTTTGTTGTTTCATCTGAAAGTGCCTAAAGAGCGAAGAGACAGTATTTTTTTTAAAATTTTTTCTGTTATGGGAAACGGTGTAAAAATATATTCGAAAGTGAGAAAATTCACCGCCTGGTGACCTCATCTGGCGGCATTTCCCATTTAAACTCATGTATTTTAGCAGATTAGATCAGTTTGCCATATCTTCTGTAATAATTGTTTAATTCATGAACCAAAGGTATCCTTGTGTTCAGTTCACTCAGTAGTTTCCACTTAAACACGAAATTCATCAAAATTCAGACACCTGCAAGTTCTCTATCTCAGCTTCGCCATGAAACCGTGACGAATCGCCTTAGACAGGTTCTTTTGATAGAAGGTTCTATTCCTGTTTTTCTTTTTTTTTCTTCGATTTTAAGGTAATTAATTACTTAAAGATACATTATTCAGTAATGCACGGTCGTATTTTATTGACATTTTGATTGAGGGAGGTTCAAGAAGTCCCGCAAAATAGTTAATTAAAACGGACACTTTTTTCAAAACTAGTAGTTTAACTTTGGTAATAGAGCCTTGCAAAGGATCACAATGGTTTGCCAATGCAACACGCACTGAAGACGGAAAACAAATTCTATGATTTCGACAAGGTTCGCACTTACCTTGAAACTGACAAAAGTCGCAAGATACTATTTGCAGTGATAAATCATTGTGATCCATTTCAAAGACGTGGCAACGCACGTCTTTGAAATGGATCACGTGGCAACGCACGTCTTTGAAATGGATCACAGCGACGGCGCAGAGATACAACTATTCGTGCTTGGTGAATGTCCATGATGTATCTTCAAAACTGAAGGCGCGATGGTGTGAGGCGTGAACACGTATATCGGTGTGTGCTGCCAACGAGTTCTCGCTCAGATTCAGGAGCTAAGTTAAAAAACTTGGCCCGATTTTGATGCTCCTGTCTTTGACTGTGTTGCTCACATAATTTTTGAAGCACCACTACAAATGTGGCAAATGGAAAAAAAAACATAATTTGGAAATGGAGCAAGGGCAATGACCCGCGTTGACGACGGCGCAGAGATACAACTATTCGTGCTCGATGGATGTCCGTGTTGCGTCTGCAAAGTTGAAGGCGCGACGAAGCGAGGCGTGAACTCTCAATGCTCAACTTCATGCTGCCGTTAATTTTTGGCTTTAGATTACATTGCCACGCCAAGTCAGCAAAGCATATCTTATTCTTTGAAATACGCATGATTATATTTTGAAGTGTGTTGACTTACGGTAAAAGTATATTCTACTCTTTGACTCACAATTAGCTTGGTAGTGGCTTGGTTGGCTGACGCTGTTAAGCAGTTATATTAAGGGACATGTACCAAAGTGGAGAGTCCAGGGGGTATTGTCAGTAGGTTTACATTCGATTGAGGGCTTAAAGCAGGTGTGTTCCTTGTCATTTAAATGACTATAATGCATCTTAAATACGTTCTTAAATGTTTCAGAGAGTCCTGTGAAATAAATCCTGACAGACCTAAGAGTCCTGTGCCATTGCAGTCCTCTAAAGCATTGCAAATGATCCAAAATCATACATTTTGAAGATTGAAAGAGGGTTTCAAAAGCCGTTCTTGGCTGAACATTGATCTTTGCCGAAAAAAGAAAAAAAGAAATAACAAAGAACTTTAAGAAAAATTAAGTGAAAACCAATAAAACCTTCAAACGAAAACAAAACAAACACACCAAAAAATAGAAGAAAGTAAAAAAAAACCTAATAATAAAAAATGAAAAAAAAATTAAAACCGAAAATAAAATAAAACCAAAAATAAAATAAAAAAATCAGATGGAAAATATTCCAGAACCAAGCCAGAGTATTCTCGTTGTCCTTTGTATTTTTCGATGTTGTAAGGAAAAGTCCTTTTAAAAGCATTTAGTATTTATCTTAGGGCTAAAGAGGAAATGAACATGGTAAAAAGTTGAGAAGATATAAAAAGTGTTTCATTTTGCAGGTTGACAGGTTGATATTAAAAAGGGGTACAGAGAAGTCAAAAAGATGTTGAATAGTGTCTCGTCGTTACAGTTTTTTTCAAATTTACGAGAAAGGCAGAAAAATAAGGCAAGAAAAACATTTATGGGAAGTTTCATTTTCATCACTAAAAATACAAAGGAATTGACCAAGTTGTATTTATTAACGTATAATTCATTGGCCAGAGCGTCTTGGTGTCTTATATCCTCATGAATATTGTCACAGAAAGTTCTCATAGAGGAACTTAGTATTAATGGTAGGGCCTATGGGAAGACAGGCATATGTGGCGATTGGGTGTCGTAGAACGCCAGAGTGCGTTGTAAAGCGACTTTAATAATAATAACATCGCATTCGATACTGATATCGAAACTGCACTCGAATGCGATATTTTCTCTTTGATAAAAACCACGCCTTTATCACGTTGAATTTCTTTGTAAAATTGGTAATTGAGCGCTTTAGTCTCCTGACAACGGAATATTCTTTGATGATTTTTGTCTCTCTAGTTTATGATGCGAGTCTCATCGTGCGTTTAGCGCTTTGTTGACGAAAAATCGGCAACAGTGGTTTGCGGAAGGGAACGAGTGGAAGCGGGGGAGCGGGGGAAGTTTGTCGGGAGGAAATTGTCCTTTTCTGGAGCGAGGTGGGAAAAAAGACAGAGCGAGCGTCGGGGAAGGAAAATATGTAAAGATGAAGTGAAATGAAAAGCGAGGCCGGCTCATAATCTCGAATTTACGCTCGACTATTCTTCTCCCAATTTCCTCTACTGTCTGCACATTCAAAATGAGTCATTTTCTGATAAGGAACACCCCTTTGTCAGTGATTACTCCACTATTACCCGCCGCTCTCCTCGCTATTATGTTATTATCAATGCCTCATTTCCTCCGCTTTTCATTATTGTATTTTAGTTCGCTAACAAAATGGTTTCCAAACACCCCATTTACAGCTATTATTTCCATACACCCCTCTTTCCCCCACCCGTTTCTCCTTCTCTAAAGCTCCCACCCCGCTCTTTCCCTCTCTCCTGTCTCCTTTCAGCTTTCGGCCCCTCTTCGTCCTTCTTTCAACTTGCCTCCTCTCTCCATCTCTCTTCCTCCAATGTCACATTACCCCTCCATCGTGCAATTTCTCTCTCCACCCTCCCTTTCCGAATCGATGCTCCCCCTCTCTCTCCTCTCTCCATCTCTTTTCACCCTTAACTTTCGTAATTCCTTCATCCCTCTGCCGGCGATACACGCTCTCCGCATCGCACGAAGAGAGTTTCGGACGTTCTCATCGCTTCATCTGTTTCTCCAACCTTTCCTTTCAACCAGCTTCTTCTCACTCGCTCCCAGAGTGGTTTTCTACAGTGCCTCCTTCTCTATTCACACCTCGCCGGTTTTTCTCTCTCTTTCTCCACCCTCCTTGTCACAGATTCCTCTATTATACCCCTCTAAGGAGCTTGCTTATCATATCAAACACCCTTTTGTTTTATTATTGCAGTCACATGTCAACCTTTTGCTCGCTTATTTATACGGCCCCCAGTTTTATTATACGGATTTTAATCTCGGTGACTGTTTTCCTGGTTCGATTCACTGATTCTTAATGAATTGTACAATTTAAAAAAAATGAACGGTGGGCGATTATTCTTGTCATACAATAGAGTCTTAACACTATCAACTTTTTAAGAGGTAGTGAGTCTTGGAAGCATCGATTGTCATGTAGATGCATATTAATCGTAACTGTTTTTGCCATTTTTTGGCTGAGTCTTCCTCTGTCTAACACTATCAACTTTTTAAGAGGTAGTGAGTCTTGGAAGCATCGATTGTCATGTAGATGCATATTAATCGTAACTGTTTTTGCCATTTTTTGGCTGAGTCTTCCTCTGTCTATTTTTTAGCCTGTACCCGCGGTATTACCGTAGAAGATATATGAATTCCAGCCGCTTCTCAAGGGCCCTCTCCACTCAGTGAATTAAGTCTGCGTGTAAATGGTGAAATTAAAACCTCCAAAATATACAGAGTTCGAAAAATTTGACGACTCATTGACAACTGTGTTCTCATTTTTCCTTTCCAATTTATTTTTCTTTAACTTTTGCAGAAGTGCCTTTCTTTTATGTTATCCAAAACCAGTTCTACCGACATAAACTTTCATGAGATATAATTATGTCACCTTTCCTTTTTTGTTTACTATTGTATGTACAGGTGATGAAAATAAAAGAATAAAAAGAAGCTGTGCTAACACCAAGTTCTTACTTTTACTAATAAGCGGAGAGGTATTATCCTTGCTCTTATATGATTTTAACGTTATTTACCATGTTCACACATATCATATAGTTTCTAATAGATTAGTTTAATAAATTAATTACAGATGTGTTTACTGATTATCACCTTTAATGCTGATACAAGTAACGCGAAAAATCAAAGGTTTACACCAAAGTGTTGGATGTCATCCACGATATTCCCTCGGAGTATGTCTGCGTTGACCTCGGCAATAGAATCTTGGTGCAAGGCTTTTTTCGTATCATTACTAATCTAGAAGAATTAAAAATCAAACAAATGTTTAAAACAATCATCTAAACCTCTCTCTTTCCAAGCAAACAAGACCAGCTCTCTTGCCTCCTGCATGTTTCATAGCCCTTTTCGCTTCTACACGGAGAAAAAAACTTCGTGCATGAGACCGGAAGTTTATAGGTCATATGGATCTCTGAAGTTTTCGGATTGAGCATCCGAACACTTAAGGTCCAGCTGTTGAGGTTCGGATCACACATCTGAAACTTCAGTTCTTACATCTGAAGTACTTCGGTTTCCACATCCGAATAACTTCGGTTCTCACATCCGAAAAACTTCGATTCTCTTATCTGAAGTACTTCAGATGTAAAAACTGAAGTTTTAGATGTGTGATCCGAACCTCGACAGCTAGACCTGAAGTGTTCAGATGCTCAATCTGAAAACTTCAGAGATCCATATGACCTAAACTTCGGGTCCCCCGCACGAGGTTTTTTTCTCCGTGTAGTTGAAGGCCATCTTATTTGTCTTTCCTGATATCCAACCATTTCCCAGTCCGTGATTCGTCCCGGTTCAAAATCTCCCACAATTCTCGCACACGGGCGTCGCTTCATCCTTAAATTCAAACTTGGTACCTCAAGCCCCAGAAGGACCTCAAAGATGGGACAAAGCCTTTTTTCCCGCAAGAAGTTGACAGGCAGTGCGGACCGACCTTAATTGCGTCATTGTACCGCCAATTTGCCACCGTTTGCCTGCACGGCAAGCAGACCGATATTCGCGGAATCGAACATGAGTCGATGGATCGATCAATTGATTTATTTGGTTTGGGTGAAGGTCACCATTCCGAATCGAGGAATCGATTACCGGCGAGGAGACGACGCGACGTCAAGTGGTCGGCGGCGGCGACTCCAGCGGACGGGCGCACGGCCGAGCGAGCGAGCGAGCGATGAAAATCAAAACCAATTATAAAACAATTGGAAGCGAAACAAACGAGATATTTGGCCGGGAATACAGAGTGCCAGTCCGCACGGTTTCCACTTTTCGTGCGTTTTGGTCGTTCTGAGTTGGCGCCCGCGAGGACTCGCCGCCGGTTCGGCAACCTCGGAGGATACAGCTGAACAATCGCGACTTAGCGCAGCCGGGGGCTGGCAAATCCCCCCACTTTTACCCGGCGCACGGTGAGACGCACAGTTAGTTCGAAAATAATTTCGCAGTCTCTGAATGGACGAGCAAGGTGTGTGATTCAGTCAGGCCAAAAGTGCCGGGGGGGGGGGGGGGAGGGGAGAACTTTTGCAACTTTAAAATTACTTCTTACGCGAATTCAACACTTCAAACGGGGGGAGGGGGCCGAAAAGAGTATCCTGGGAGCTCTCCCAGAAAATTTTCGAAATTTGAATGCATCTGGTACACAGTCAAGTCAAGTTAGTCGTGAATAAGTACCAAATCAGCGGAAACAAAGTAGCTTGGATCCAGAGTCCAGACTCTGAAAAATATCGACTGTAAAAATACTTTTAACTCAATTCGATTTTTGCTTGAATGGAGATCCAAGTTTCTTTTCCAAGCGGGTTTTTTTTTGACTGAAGTAAAAATCCGATTGAATCAAGAGAATTTTTCTTGTCAACGTTTTCAAGAGTCGAGACTCCAGATCCAAGTGACTTTTATTTCAAATGAAGGCGTCCTTCCTTCTTGTTTCCTCCGTTCCTTACTTTCCCTCCTTTTTTTCGGACGAAAAGGAGGGGCACGCCCTCTATACGCCCCCCCCCTGGATCCGCCTGTAAAGCGCATAAAAGGGTTGATTCTGCGGCGTTAATTCTGAGAATTGATTCTTGGTTTCTTGGTCTCATAGAGTTTAGATGAAAAAAGGGCACAGCAGTTACGTGAAAGGGTTCCACGGTAATCATCATACGAGTTAAGGAGATGAAATAAAATGAAAAACAAAAGTGATAGTGAAGTTATTTCAGACGAACAATGCAAGTTGAGGTTAGACAATGTGCACCCACACCAAACGAAGGAAGAAATCCTTTCCATGTGGAACAGACGGAGACCTGTCACTGAATAACTTTTTTCATACGATGTTAAAATAAATTTCGCGTAGTAAAGTTGGTAAAACAAACTCGGTTGATTCTTCAATCATTTCCCTTAATTCATTCCGGGTTCGGCTTTCATTTTTCACTCCTCTTTTCAGTTCGTTTTTGTGCATTTGTTGGTATATTTGTTTTGTCTTTTTGAATTTCTTCAGGATATGTGTTTCCAAGCGCCTCATTTGTAGATCTTTCGCTTTTATCACCCTGGCATTCGTTTAACGTATTTCCGCTGCAATCAGAGAGTGGTTAGAGTCGCAGTTGGGCCCTTTGTAGATTTTTACATCGTTTAATCTACTGATATTAATCATCGTCGATGGTCAATATTGTGTTATAGCAGAATTCGAATAATGCCGTCTTTTCGGAGACTGAAGTTAACAGCGACGTTTCGCATATAAAAGTGACATTAATAAATTAACTGGAAGAGAGACTGAAAATTTGTAAGACATTTTGTGTAATTTTTATGCTAGAAACTCGAAACTTCCCTTCACTTGCTTTTGTTCACCTTTAACCGATTTATTAACACAAAGAAAACTGGCGCAGAGTCGGACTGGCGTAGAAAAAAGTTAGGCGGCTACTAGGATTTTGGGACCCCTGGCGTAAAAACTGGGCTCCTATGGGGGGTCGCCCCCCAGGGTTGGAGGGGGGTCCGAGGGTCCTCCTCCGGATAGTTTTGAAAATTTAACCCCTGAAAATAGAAGTTTAAGGCTCTTTTTGCATTGAAATTTGATAAATAGCGCCTCCGAAAATGTCACCTATTTTTTAGATATTTTTGAAAAATTCGGCTATGAATCTGCAAATCACAAGGCTAAAGACAAAAACGACATATGTTATCAAATTGAACTTATAATTTTATTCATGAAATTTCACACTTCGATGTAACAAACTTGTGTATAAATAAAAAAGTACATATATAACTTGGTGGCCAAGCCAGAGTGTCCATTAAACAAAAAATGTGTTTTTCTCACATGTGTGATGTAAGTGTGACATGAAAGTATGTTTTGACATTCGAGTAAAGACCGTCTTTAAGCTGAGTTTATCGTTATCCCAAGTGAAGGAAGTAAGGAATAAACTCACACTATTAATAACCGCTTTAACAGGGTGTTCCTGGCGTGTATTTCACTGGTGAACAAAAACCTATTTCGCGTAAAAATATGGCCAATCGGAGATTTTCATACACTTAATGTACCCTTCATTTCCTTCGCGGATGAGCCCTTTACTATCAAACACGAATAACGCCTCAGACGTAGGAATAGTGGAGGTCCCTCTAATTTCCAAGCGGCGCAGCACCGCGCCGTCACACTCTATGCGGAACCCACTGTGAGACGGCCGGGGAACCGGGAGTTCCCCCTAACAGGCCGCCTTGCATGGGGGGCGGGCGGGAGAGAGGAGCAGGGAAAGATGGCGGAGAACCATTAGAAGGATTTATTGTCCCAATTAGCCAAGCAATATCGTGACAGTAAGAACAGACCAAGGCCCGATGCACAGTAGCTGAGCCCCCCGATGGAGGGTTCTGTCCCGATGCTTATTGTGCAATTAAATATTAACAAAACAACGAACACTCAGACTACGGATAAACGAATAAAAGTTTATACCTGTGTGTATATATATATATGCATTCCTGCGCCTGCGCACTGCACTCGACGCTGCTGATCGGTATCGCGACGGACAATCAGCGAGACGACTTCTTCTTCGATGCTTGGATACCTAGCGGCCTAAGCCCCAATCCACGACTGTTGTGTTGCCAGGTGAGTAGCATCTGGATTTCGTGGCTAACTAGCTCGTCCTGCCTTCCTATGATGGCCTAAACGAGGAGCTGAAGAACCGGACCAACCCCTTAGAAAGGAGAGGAAATTTGGATCGAGTCCAACAGAAAGGAGCTAAGTGTTTTGGAGAATAAGGGTCTTATTCGTCATATGACTTTTCTTTAGTGCTCGCAAAAAAAAAGAAAAAAATCCGTGTAAAAATTCAAAGCTAAAAAAAATTGCAGGAGAGATGCAGAAAATGCTAAAGCAAGCGTAGTCAATCTCCCGCGTGGCGTCAAGTAATTCGCGCGAGCTCGCGAGGAAACTTGTTCACGGAAATTTTATTTTTTTATTTTTCTCCTTTTTTTTATTTAAACGAAAATGAGAGAACAACGTGAGAGGGCGCTGATTTTTTACACTACGCGCGGAGGCCAAGGTTGCGATTAATTTTTGCCGTGTAGAACCCGTTGCTTCCTTGAACTGCATCCTGTGTTCCACGGTGTCTGAAGGATCAGTTTGCACCTATTTTTGGCTACTGAGGCAAAGTATCACCTCGGTTTTTTTCCAGTTCCTAAGCGGTCACCAAGAAATCAAATTCTCCAAAAGAAGGATGTTTTAAAAAACGTAATGTCCGTTTTTACAAATGAGAATAAGTTTTGGTAAGTTCCTGGAAGAAGTAAAGCTATTTACGGCCTTGAAGGCGAAAAATAAGTGCGAGCAGACTTACTAGATGTATCTGGGTTTTTTTCCTCTGTCCAATCCGAGGCCGTACAATTGAAAATCCCTCTAGTAAGGGCCCCGATGTGTGATTCTGCGAAAAAGTCACTTCAGCTCCACCGGATTCAGCTATTCCATTTTCTTTGTCCAGTTGTTGTTTCGCTAACTCAGCGCAGGATTTTTCAGACGTTCTTTTCACGGCTTGGGGTAGGGGCAGGTGATCGTTTCTAAGAAGGTTTTTGAGCATTCCTTAGAAATTTTCAAATTGACAAGCACTGGTGCGGTTTGGATCTTTGAAACGTTCAACATCCTCGATCAAATGCAGGACCATGTGAATATTGTGAGTAGTATGATTTTCTCCATAAATTTCGGTAAACGAAGAAACAGATTTTTGGTTAAAAGATTGAGCTTTATCCACATATCTTTTTTTTGTTCTCAAAATGGGATGAAATAGGATAAATGAAGCAGCATGCAATAGCAGCAGATTCTCATACTGCTCCTCCGGAAGAATTTCAAACAGCGTCACAATTCCACAGTACAAAATAAATTGGCGCCCCTATGTTGCTTTAAATTTGAAGTATTTACTGATTGATTTCAATGTGCGAGTGAATTCTCGGGGAAGATTTCGGCGCATTTTTCCATGTCGTTTGTTTACTTTAGCTACATTTGTTTCTGACAAACGAAACGACCGGTGATCTGTCACAATCAGCTTGAGAAGAGTTTTTGCAACACCAATCCACAGGATATGCATCGGGTCGCACACTACCTGTTTTACAAGATCTGTATTTGGCAGTTGCTCTAAAATAGTATAACGCTGATGGTGATAGTCCTCACGGTATTCTATATCAAGATTTCCATCTAGCAGTGGAACAACAAAGATGAAAAAAACGGGAAACAAGGCTAAAAATACACAATTATGAAACCCGAGACGTTTCGACTCAACACTGAGTCATTTTCAGTCGGAAACAATAAAAAATTTTAAAAAAACGCTAAAAACCTGAGCTCTACATGGTGGGGCCGGGATCTGAGAGAAAAAAAAGAAAATTGATAACAAACAAGACACATCGATGCCAGCACCAGTAACCGAAAATGACCGATACGCTAGTTCACGATCCACACACAGATGGCAGCACTAACCAGTGAAACAATTAAGTTCAAGGAAAAGCCAATAGGTGCCGCTGGGGCGTCAACCTAAACCTGACTTTTTAAAAAGTGAGTGGTATATTGCACTAAGCCCGCTGATGTCAGTGCGGTTATTACACACAGAATCCCCATGTTTGAGGATTTCGATCATTTCCAGGACCAGTCTGGGAAACAACTTCTCTTCCTTACATAAAATTACCACCTTATCAAAATCGAACCGGTGACCAAATTCTGTTTGGTGCCTCTTGAGTGCTGTTAACTCACTATTGTCATATTTATGACCACCAAGCCTCTTCCTTAGAAGTTGCTTGGTCTGACCGATGTAACTGATGTCGCAATTTCCACAAGGAATTTTATAGACCAACCCCGATTCCTGCAGAATCGGATTTTTAGCCTTCACCCTAGACATCAGGAACTCAAGATTGTTGTATTTGGTGTTAACCACATGGTACCCGAACAATTTTAAAATCGATGACAAATTTTCCGAAAGGAAGGGAACGTATGGAAGGCATACAATTTTGTCGAGATCCCGTTCTTTGGTAGTTTTATCCTGCCCCCCTCTCTTATTAAAACTACTAAGTACCTGGCGGAAAATCTTTGCTATCAAATTGGGTGGATAACAATTTTCAACCAACAGATTCTTTCCAATCTGGATCATCTCATGCCGATATGAAACATGAGAGAGACCAATTATGCGCCGTGCTAAATTAGATGCAACGTTTTTCTTTACATTCATGGGTCGAACAGATAAAAAATTAACATAACGACCAGACGCCGTTGGTTTCTGATACCACTTACATCTAATCTCGCTATTCACCCTTATTAAAGTCATATCCAAAAAATTGAGGCAGTTGTTATTCTCAATTTCAAGGGTAAATTTTATGGCGGGATTTAAACTGTTGAAAAATTCAAGAATAGCATGCGTATCTTCTTTTTTTACACAAGAAAAAATATCATCGACATACCGCTTGTACATGCGGATTTCGATGGGAGATAAACTCAAAGCAGTACTTTCGATGCGCTCCATGGATATGCCGCCTCTTCGGCCCCACCATGTAGAGCTCAGGTTTTTAGCGTTTTTTTAAAATTTTTTATTGTTTCCGACTGAAAATGACTCAGTGTTGAGTCGAAACGTCTCGGGTTTCATAATTGTGTATTTTTAGCCTTGTTTCCCGTTTTTTTCATCTTTGTTGTTCCACTGTTATCATCGTCTCGGGCTGCTCCTAAAAATTTGTATCTATGATTTCCATCTAATGATGGCTTATAACCTTCACGAAATTCAGCATGAGAACGGGGTGGATGTTCCTCTACACCTGGAAAATGAATCCCACCAGTAGACACTCCTTTGATCTTGCACCTAGGGCATGCCCAGTAGCCAGAATGCGAGATAAGACCAAGAAGGTCACTTTTAGCAACTGTGTCAAAGGTAAGCCCTAATAGATTGACAAGGATTTGCTTCCCGTCTATAGATGCGCCTTCAGTTGATAAAGTTTTCGCCTCTTCAACAAAAGGTTTCAAGAATAAATTCGTATCCTTAGGCTTTGTTTTGTCCGCATACCAGATCCCGATAGCTGCAACGTAGCTCTCCTCATCGGGATCTTTAGAAGTAATTGCGCACATGATCGGAATGAAGTGTCCACAAGAGCTTTCAGATATTGGTATGCCATCGATACCTACAAATACATCAAATTCGTCCACAGGCCTGCACTGAGAAAAAACTATGGCTTATAAACCTATTAGAGGTAAATATGGAACACCACTAATAGTAGTACCTCTACATATAATAATAGCACATATACCTTAGTTATGGTCTCTGTACCTTAATTAGGTACAGAGACCTTAGTATGGTTCACAGACCGAGAATCATTAGTTTATTTACGACTATTATAGGTGTTCCATATTTACCACTAATAGGTTTATAAACCATAGCTTTTTCTCAGTGTGACTTGACTAGCACGTAATACAAACACAACAGCTCCTGAAGTCCTATACATGAACGTGCGTCTCCCCATCTGCAATGTCTTTGACGTCCACCTTACGTATCTTACAAGAACCCTGAGGTTAAAGTATCTAGTTTGTCTGAGGAACATAGTCATTGATGTTCCCGCCATTAAGACTTATCAGCTGAGACAGCCCGAGCCCCGGAGGCAGGGGTCCCGAACCGTTGCTAACATCTTCGCACTGGGACTCGTGCAAAAATATTTCCGGCATCGTCAATATCCAATGTGCCCCAAAGCGATTCCTCGAACGCTGCTTCAATTAAATCTCTTCCAACGGTCCTTTGGAGATTCGGATTTGGAGATTGGAGATTCCTTTGCACGTTAGATCCCGGCTCGACAGGTCTGGAATCTAAATGCCTCCTTTGTCCTGGTAGTCGTGGAGAAGAGTCAAGCGCTCCCAATTGGGAGAGGAGATACCCCCTGCCCCTTGGCAGTCGAGAGGGTCCAGCGGAAGTTGTGTTCAAGGACCGGTTGGCCCCCCGGCCTAATGGAGGCTCTGGGTCAACCGAACCAAATGTCGGATGGACAGCAAAAAAAATCTCATCCAATATACGATCTTTGATAACCGTTGTTAATGGCACTCTGCAATAGGGGCATTCGTCACTTGTCAGCTGTTCACGACATGAGCCGCAGACATAATGTCCATTTGCACACTTTACGAACGGTGGCCGCAGAGGATGGTCGAGTATATCGCATTTGTTGTTTTCAAAAATTTTTGTAATAGTGGTCCGCAATGGCGGTTTCTTGGAGTTCTGTTGCTCAGTCACTGTGAACACAGAAACAAAGGGGGTAAGGGAAGGGAACGGGATACACGTAAAGGATAGAGCAACAATTACAATTGTTTGTTTGAAGTCTCCTTATCTTTCTCCCTTTGGAGATGTGAGATAACCGCAACCAGGTTCCCGTAGAACCATTGATCGAATTGCAATGTTGCTTGTAAGAGGAAATTGGAGGAGAGATCCAAACGGCGAGGGGCGGAATTTGTGGGAGACACCTTATGTTCCTCAAGGAAGGGAGAGGAAGACACACTGGTCGATGGAGCGGAGGGGGGGGGAAGACACACTGGTCGATGGAACGGAGGGAGAGGAAGACACACTGGTCGATGGAGCGCACTGAGAAAAAGCTATGGTTTATAAACCTATTAGTGGTAAATATGGAACACCTATAATAGTCGTAAATAAACTAATGATTCTCGGTCTGTGAACCATACTAAGGTCTCTGTACCTAATTAAGGTACNGGAAGACACACTGGTCGATATGGGAGATGGGTGAGTAGATACTGACTTCTCGTTATTGCTCATCTTGAACATAGAGTAGATTTCATTTGTTACGAGAAGGCTAAATTAACTATTGAGAACTACACTGAGAAAAAACTATGGTTTATAAACCTATTAGAGGTAAATATGGAACACCTATAATAGTCGTAAATAAACTAATGATTCTCGGTCTGTGAACCATACTAAGGTCTCTGTACCTAATTAAGGTACCCCGTACCATAACTAAGGTATATGTGCTATTATTATATGTAGAGGTACTACTATTAGTGGTGTTCCATATTTACCTCTAATAGGTTTATAAGCCATAGTTTTTTCTCAGTGTACCCAATGGCAGAGCATACAATTTTACCACCGGTCTTTTGTACACTCCGTTGGGAGTTTTGACTTCTACTACTCTCGTGTTGTTATCTTTCCCTGGAAATGTACGTAAGACTCGGCCTCGAGTCCATTTTAAGGGGGGGCTTTGAGGATCATGGAGAAGAACCAATGTTCCCTCTTCCAGATTCCCGGCTTGTTCCAACCACTTCCCTCGTGGTTGGAGTGTATGAAGGTACTCAAGGTGCCAACGTTGCCAAAATTGTTGGGCATACAACTCCACCAAATTCCACCTATGCAGAAATGGTGGACTTTCCGTGTCATATTGCCTTTCTGGTAACGCCACACTGAGAAAAAACTATGGTTTATAAACCTATTAGAGGTAAATATGGAACACCTATAATAGTCGTAAATAAACTAATGATTCTCGGTCTGTGAACCATACTAAGTTCTCTGTACCTAATTAAGGTACAGAGACCATAACTAAGGTATATGTGCTATTATTATATGTAGAGGTACTACTATTAGTGGTGTTCCATATTTACCTCTAATAGGTTTATAAGCCATAGTTTTTTCTCAGTGTACTAATGGCCGACCAATTAAGAAATGGCCAGGGGTGAGAACCTGATAATCACGTGGGTCAGAGGAGAGTGGAGTGAGAGGACGTGAATTTAGAATAGCCTCAATACGGGCTGTCAACGTTTGAAACTCCTCTTGAGTTAATACACTATCACCCATCACCCGTTTCAGGTGTAGTTTAAAACTTTTTACTGCAGCTTCGTACAGACCCCCCAAATGGGGCCCTAATGGTACATTGAAGCGAAATTCCACTCTGTTATTGTGAGAAAACAATATTAAATTTGGGTCCTCTGACGTAATTAATTTTAAAAATCTATTTGCCGCTCCCTGGAAATTGCTAGCATTATCACAATAAATATATGCCGGTTTGCCTCGTCTACTGACGAAGCGCTGTAACGCAGCGACGAAAGCATCGGTACTCAATTTTGAGACCATTTCTAGATGAATTGCCTTGGTGCTCATGCACACAAAGACACAGACATAGACTGGAGAAATAATCGCATATCGAAGCTGATGCAATTTTACATTGAAATGGCCACAAAAGTCCAATGCCGTTCTGTGGAATGGGGGACTCTGCTGAACTCTTTCAGCTGGTAAATCACCCATTAAAGGAGTTTTGTTTCTAGGTTGTACCTTAAAGCAATAAATACATGACTGAAACACTGATCGAGTCAATCCTCTTGATGCCATTATCCAGAATCTCTGACGTAACAGAGATTGCAGGAGTTGCGGAGGAGCGTGCATGTTGTCCTTATGGTATTTTTCAACCAGAAGGCGCACTAAGCGGTGTTTTGATGGTAGTATTATCGGATACCGCGCTGATTCTGGGAGAGGGGCATGCGTTAATCGACCCTGAGCATGAATTAAACCATCCACGCCAATATATGGTGCCAATCGTTTGAGTGGTTTAGATTTATTTGTTAATTTTTCACCTCGTTTTAGGCGGTCGATGTCCCCCCCAAAACTCTCTTTCTGAATCAAGAATAGAGTTTTATTTTCAGCGACTAGAAATTCCTCCACTGTAATGGGTCCTTTTTTAATGACACGGTCATGACGTATTAAGAAACGTAAAACATAAGCAATTGCTCTCACTACCTTATTCCATGAAGAAGATTGTGGAAATTTAATTTCTATCTTTTCTTCTTGAGCTGTTATTAATACCGTGTTAAACTTTTTTAACTCTGGTAATTTTCCATCGGATGGAACTATTCGTAACTGTTCTGGCCAAAGTTCTTCCTTTACTTTTAACCAAGGGGGACCATTCCAATACAGAGGGTGATCTTTCAATTAACCAGGCATTATTCCTCGTGACGCGACATCTGCCGGATTCAAGCGGCCTTCAACATGACCCCATCTCACTGTTTCTGTTAAATTTTGGATTAGCGCTACTCTATTTGCTACAAAAGTTTTTAGTTTGTATGAAGGAGTTTGAATCCAGGCCAAAGTTATTGTAGAATCTGACCAAGCGAAGACTTTTTTTACACTAAAATATTCCATGATTTTTGGCAGATATGTTTTTAATACTTTTATACCCAATGCTGCTGCACATAATTCAAGTCGTGGTAATGAGACCTTTTTTAGAGGCGCAACACGCGATTTCCCAACAATGAGGGTTATTTTTGCATATTCATCCGTGGAAGGGTGGAAAGATCGCAGATAAATCAGGCATGCTATTCCCAGCTCACTTGCATCGCAAAACATATGACATTGTACTTGCCTATCTTCGGTCTCTATATATCGTGGGATCTCTATAGAAGATAACAATTGCAATTCATCTGCGAACTTTTCCCAACGATGTATTAGTTCCTGGGGGAGTGGGTCATCCCAACCCAAACTAATCAACCAAAGTTCCTGCATGAAGGCTTTTGCCTTAAAAATGACAGGTGTTAGAAATCCTAACGGATCAAAAATCGAACTGATTAATGATAAAAGGCCCCTTTTTGTATGAACGGACTCTGCTCGTTTTATTTTGTAAGAGAAAATGTCTTTCTCACAAGCCCAAAATGCCCCTAATATTTTGAAGACCGGGTCGTCAAATCCACTTTTCGGAACCTCCAAATCTTCTGAAGGAAAATTCGCTAAAATGGCTGATTTATTGGAAGTCCATTTTCTCATGAAAAAACCCCCTTCAGCCAAAAGAAGGATGACTTCTTTTAACAAAGTTTTGGTATCCTCATCCGTTTTATCACCATATACCAAATCGTCCATGTAAAGCGCGTCCGCTAGCGCTTTTGCTGCCCTAGGATATTTATGACCATGATCCTTTATGATCTGTTTTATTGTGCGTATGGCTAAGAACGGTGAACAATTTACCCCAAAACATACTGTTACTAAAGCATAAGTTTTTAGTTGCATATGAGGTTCAGGCCTCCAAACAATTAGTTGGAATAGATGATGTTTAGGATTTAATTCGATTTGAAGGTACATTTGTTTAATGTCCCCTGAGAACACCGTGGGAAAACGCCGAAAACTCAACAAAAGCATAGGAATGTCTTCTAACAATGAAGGACCAGGTAATAATAGATCATTTAAGGATTTTCCATTAGTAGTTTTCATACTTGCGTCGTAAACTGTTCGAAGTTTTGTGCTACTTGACGACTCGTTTATAACTCCATGGTGGCTCATATAATAATGAGGCGTTCCCTCAGGAGGGCGGGGAACTTCCCGCATAAAACCGTTCTGTTCATAATCCTTCATATATTGAACATATTTTTCCTTTAGGATTGGATTTCTACGAAATTTCGATTCCAATTGATGAAACCTTTTAACCGCGGTGGAGTACGATTCGCCCAAATTCCCAGAATTTTGACGGAATGGCAAATCTACTTGATATTTTTTACTTGGGAGTTGTATCGTAGTTTCCGTGTACAATCGTTCCGCATATTCTTCCTCCGGTTTCAGACCGTTTGAAGGGGTTGGCTCTTCCAATGCCCAAAACTGTTCTACTTTTGAATACAATCCACTAGAACAATTGCATGTTAGAAGAACCCTTGCCGAACGTACCGGAGCAGAGCGGATGAGCGCTACCGATGAGTGCTGCGAAGGGGGGAAGGGAGGTTTTGCCATAGACGATGACAACGTCGAAAACGTTTTTCCCAAAACAACATAACCAAAAACCGTGGACATTACTGATGGCAAAGAGGGTCCCAGAGGGAGAGGGGGACCGTTGACAATCAATGCATAGAGGTCAACAGCTAAAATGAGATCAGGTTTGCTCGGAACATCAAAATGTTTATCAGCTAATGGGTATTGTCCCAGAATTTTCCTCAAATCCTTATCTAATGGGACTGGTGGAAGAAGACCAGTTATCTTCTTGACGACTATCATAGGATAGTTTGGAGCCACTAACCGTCCATCAGGCGTTGAAATGCTGCCAGCCATGCCTTTAGACTCAACCTGATTTTCAGATAGACCTGAAAGATTCATTTCAGTGTGGCTAGGTTTAATTCTAAGAAGAGAACAACACTCTGATCTGATAACGCCCGTATCAGCCGCGCTATCTAGGATGGCCTTTGCAACCAATGTGCGACCATTTTTTGCCGTCAACAAAACAGTTATTGTTGGCAACACTGACGTCATATTTCGACTCTCGGTAAGGAGGGTACGCTGACCCTGAGGTTGGATCGTCTGAACAGAACCAATGGTGGCTGATGTGGAAGGTTGTGGAGTCGATTCATGTTGATACATCTGGGTGGGTAATGCAGTTGCAGTTGAAAGATGCAGCATAGAATGATGTTTTTTCGAACATGATTGACATCGTTTTTTACTCTCACAATCCTTAACCCCATGAGATGTACTCAAACAATTATAACATAGATGATTTTGTGTCACAATATCACGCCGATCCTGTGCAGTTATATTTTTAAACTTTTCGCATTGAGCTAGAGTATGAGAGCTTTTGGGACAAAGCTTGCATCGCAAATATGGTGGGGGTAATTTTGTAGTTCCCCCAGAGTTTCCCTGTTTACCGTCCGACTGAGGGGGGGGGGAGGGAGATGATGAACCCTTTCCCACCTGCAAAGCTCTCACTGGAGGAGCAGATGAGAGTTTTGGGCATTTTTGGTTTGAACGAAATTTATTAGACTCGCCTTCTGACATTTGTGCAATTTCGTCTTGTAGATATTTGCAAATTTCATCAACAGTTGGCATTTTAGTTTTTTCATCCCGAGAATCCTCAAATCGTCGTTTATGAAAATTATTAAATTTCCGTAATAAAACCAAAACCAATAATGAACAATAAGTTTCAGGTTTCAACCCTAAACCCTCCAACGCTTGCATATTCTCTTTTATTTTGGTGTAGAAATGAGATAAATTAGACGCCGTTAACTCTTGGAGATCAAGTAAATTTGAAAGGTAATAAGTTATTTGTCGTCTCTCATTATGATAATAATCTACCAACAAATCCCAGGCAACTAAATAATTTTCAGAAGTAAATTCTAAATTTTTAACTAAATTTAGTGGTTCGCCTTCCAGTTGGGCGAGCAAATATTGGAACTTTTCAATGTTGCTAAGCGTAGAAGATTTATGAATTGTAACCTCAAACAAGTTATGGAAAATTGACCAATCTGACAACTTTTTACCATCAAACCGCGGCAGCACGATTTTAGGAAGCCTCACTTGAGACCTTGTATTATTAGAGCATGTGGTAGAATTCGGATTAGAATCCTTCAAAGATTTTTTGGCATGTTGATATAGTGATTGAGCTTTCATCACCATTTCTAAAAATTCCATTTGAGCGTTAATCACACTCTCCTCTGACACATCGGAGGAGAGAATTTCACCCTGAGTTCTGTCAAAACCATCCTGGAGTTTTTCCAGCCTATCCATGAAAAATGAAAAACTATCAATGTTTTCCGGAGTTATTTCGGTTAACTTCCCCAAAATGGTTCTAACTTCGCTCATGATCAAATTCCTCTGGCGTATAAGTTTGATTTCAATATCATTTGAATCTCGCGAATGTACCGAGGGGGGACGAGAAGGAGGCGCGGAAAATCTTTGCTGAAATGTGTGCGACGTGAAAGTCGCTGTATGATAATCACTCTCATTGACGTTTTCATTGTTTACATTTTGATTTAGTGATGTTGTCGGATTTGGCAAGGAATTCAATACGGCATTTCGATTAACCTCATCATCGTTTCCCCCACCCGTTACACCTTGACGTAAGACTCGGTTCAATTGTTCCCGCAGACCATTATCGTAATTGTGGTCCATCAGTAACTGTTCACTTGGAGTTAAACTAACATTAGATGCTGGAGAAGAAGGCAACATGGACAAATTTTCTAACCTCGAAAAAGAATTTTTTTTTTTTTTTTTTTTATAAGTTATACAGTTTCACAACCTGTTTTCTAAAACAGCTGATATTGTGAATTGACCCAATTATGCGAAGATTCGATATAGGTTATTTTTGAATTAAATATGAAAAGTAAACAGCTGAATTAAGCTTTTCTAAGCTTTTAAGGGTGAATAGAATGAAAAATTCTTATAATTTTCCATTGAAATGATGGATTAGCAATTGAGGTTATTTTTCGAGGTTAGGAAAAAACACGGAAAGGGAGGAAGGGAGAATGGATAGAATTCACCAGGAAAAATGGATGGAACGATACAGGATTCTCTCAGGATCGTTGGATGGAGCACTGGGGCTGGGTGGCTGCGTCTCTGCAGGACTGGGTCAAATTAGGACTTCTGTTTGTAACTTGTTGGGACGAGAGCTTGGAGGTTAGGACCTGGGTGGCTGCTACAACGTTTCTAAGTTTTTCAGAAGTTTTATATATCCGGCTCGGAGGACCATGAATAATACCAATAATAAGACTCACTTTATAGAAGGGATATTTTGTTTTTCTTTTTGGAAAATAAGGGTTTACAAGGGAACAGAGGGATCGAAAAATAGGGATTAAGACAGCACAATAACTTTTTTTTCAGTCATTCAGTCCGGAAGGGGGTGGTGGCGACGGCGGCAAGACCACCGGCGATGCGTTTACCGCGTTCGCTAGGTATCGACGGTGTGCCGGACAGTACCACGGGGTTTCCCGTGGTAGTTCTGACAGGCCTAAGCTTGACAGAAAAAACCAATCCTTGAATCCGGCGACATCACCTTTCTTGCATGTTTTATTTCCTGCCCGCCCCCGCCACTCACACTGCACTGCCGTCCGAAATAGTCCAGCCGCGGCGGTCGCCACTTCTTCTTCCGGAAAGCCCAGGAAGCCTGGTTCGTCGTCATCTTCCTCTTCCACATATTCTTGGACGAGGCCTCCTTGTATGTAAAGTAGGCCATCGTGCTCCGAATTCGGATTCAGGAGGAAAGGCGGCTCATTCTCTTGTTGGTCTCCTTCAGGGGGGGAGGGGGGCGCTGCCCCCTGATGTACGTCGTCAGGCTGTGCATCGTCATCATCAAGCTGCTCTTCTTGTTGGTCTCCTTCAGGGGGGGAGGGGGGCGCTGCCCCCTGATGTACGTCGTCAGGCTGTGCATCGTCAGGCTGTGCATCGACGACTTCGACTTCGCGTTGCTCATCTGCATTCATGTCGTCCTCAGGATAAAGGATGCCCAGGGGAGCAAGGCTATTTTCTCCTTTTTGTTTGGGTCTAATCTGAACATTACAGAAGAAAAGCTTTACAGTGATCGGAGGCCCGTCCACCCTTGCTAAAAATGCTCCCAGCCGCTCCGTGGACTGAAAGAGCTGCGAGTTGCCATTGCAAATGATTGCAAATTTTTTTTCCTCCTGTTGCCGGAGATATTTCAGGCCCCGTAGGAAAGCGCCCTCCCTTAGGAGGCGCTCACTGGTGGATCCAACCACCGTGCAGATTGTCCTCCCAGTCCGCCTGGACATACCTAACCGCATGCCGTTGTATGAGTTGACGCGTTGTACCATCGCCGGGTTGCCGGGGCTCGGGCTGTCTCAGCTGCGTCAGTAGGGCGGGTCATCCTACTCGTCTTGATCCCTTCGGGGTTCAAGGCGGGCCGGGATGTTCCCGCCATTAAGACTTATCAGCTGGGACGGTCTGGGCCACGGTGGGAGGGGTTACCATGGAACTATGATTTTTTGTGTCTTAGCTCTCAGTCAAAGTTGAAAAAAAAAAAAAAGTTATTGTGCTGTCTTAATCCCTGTTTTTCGATCCCTGTTCCCTTGTAAACCCTTATTTTCCAAAAAGAAAAACAAAATATCCCTTCTATAAAGTGAGTCTTATTATTGGTATTATTCAATTGATTAAAAATCGAGCTTCAAACCATAAAAGAAACAAGTAATATTTCAAACTACACGTAGATAAGAAATAAAATAAAACTTTCAAGAATCAAAGCAAACGTTTCGACCGCCTACAAACTGCGATCTTCTTCCGTGCATTAGGAACAACGAATATGGAAACATGCTATGGAAACATTTTACTAAATAAAAGAAAACTACACAACTATGAGCAAACTATGCGAAAATAAACAATCTTTTGCAACTACATTTTGGGATAAATACAATAAGGTGAAATTCATGATGAATTGAAGAAAGATGAGTGATAATAGTGATAGTGATTTGACACAAGGAAGTAGGTACATATTATACTTGTAATAGGTAATATTACTTGTTTATTTTATGGCTTGTGCGCGATTTTTTAATCACACTGGAAAAAAAACACATCGGATTTAGAGTCCAGACTCTTAAAAACATCGAGAAGAAAAAATACTCTTGATTCTATCAAATTTAAGCTTATATCAAGAACCAAGCCTCTTAATTTGAGCGGATTTCCCTATGATTTAAGCTTAAATCTGATTGAATCAAGAGTCCTTTTTCTTGTCAATGTTTTCAAGAGTCTGGACTCTAGATCCTATTTGTTTTTTCTCCAGTGCAATTACTATGCTCTATACAGCTTAGCCAGCCAAAGCTGGCAATAAAATGTATTTATCTGAGGTTTGTTTTGCTGAGATGAGGACTATGAACACAATAATTGTTGACAAAGCGAGAGCCTTCCAAAATCCAATCCGAACTTCGGTATTTTAAAACGAGCATGTTCACCAGTCAGCATGATTAATTTGACACCCTTGCGAAGGCACGGGCGGGAGATGGGGGTCGCATCCCCCCTTCTCCCGCTCAAATCGATTCCCTTCCCTCGTGTGGCTGGAGTGGCTGACAAGACAGCGGCAGTGGTAGTGAGGTGTAAACTTCCGCGGGTATTAGGGGGTTGTGCTTCGGAGCACAACTTTTGATAAGGGATGTCATCCCCGGAACGGCGGCCGATGACAGCATTGTGCTGTGAAGTTATTGGGGCCCTGCGCCTCTGTTGTCAGATGGTCAGCATATTGCATCTTCTCTCAATGAAGGCGACATCTCACCAGGAAGATCGTGAAAAATACGTTTAAGTTTGTAATTGAGGTGAATCTACATCTGTAGTAAGCAAAAAACATCGAGATACCAATCAAATCATGTTTATATTCAAGTTTCACGTTATATTTTTGGCGAAGAAGGACCTCTAACAACAAAAAAGTCACATCTTAGCTGGATTACTTTTTGCAAAAAGGATCACTGAAAAAACGATATTAGGGCTGGGCCGTAGAATTGCTTCACCTCGTACTCCACAGGGGCAGGCCCTGCGCGGGTAGGGTCCAGCTCTTTTCACCTCGTACTCCACAGGGGCAGGCCCTGCGCGGGTAGGGTCCAGCTCTTACCAAGAGGGCTGAACCGTGGAGCAGGTAGGTTTGGGCTCTA